ACAGAGAGAAAAGTGCTGTAAAAAGAAATTTACTTTCTGGTTTTAAAGCATGTGGCATTGCACCATTCAACCCCAATCGAGTTTTGGAAAAGCTACCACAAGACGATATTGATTAAGTCGAGCTTAGATGCTCTCTTACTAACTTTTTGAAATACTTGAGGTACAATTCTGGCTCTGAAAAACCTAGACGTAAAAGAAAACTGTTAGCAGCTGAACCTGGTCAAAGTGTTACAGGACCTAAACCATCAGAGGAGTCCAGTGACGATGATTCAAATGAAAACCTGGAATTAGATGACAGCAACAGTGATGTTGATATTAGCAAAGATGAAGAGGAGGTTGAATACTTATGTCCTTCATTAGAAAATATCACGCAGAGAAAATTCCTGTTAGTAAGATTTTTGTCTGGTTCTCGGAAAAAGACGGAATTTCGCTATGTCTGTCAGGTAAAAGGTGTTTTGCAAAGAGAAGAAATCGAAGTTCAAGGCCTTAAAATAGCAGGATCGAGGAAGGTTTTCAAAATAATTGAAAATGACATATCCACTGTTCCCTTCAAGAAAGTAGTTGCTGTGTTATCAGATCCCACACTTGAGACGATTTCTGATAGGATACAAAAATATCATTTTCTTGGAGAAATTAATATAAAAGAATGTTAAATTAAATTTTCTTTTTCTATACATTGTTCTGAATTACATTTTTAGTTGTTAAGCTATGTATAAATAAAGAATAGTACAATACAAATAGTGTGATCATTCTTACCCCGCATGATCAATCTCACCCCTTTGTAAAAATTCGAAAAACTGTCTGACAGAATTAGTCAGCGTTAAGATTGATCATATTCTATATAAAAGCACTACTGTTTCATGCTATAAAATCATCATGATCAATCTCACCCTAGTCACGGGTCTAAGATTGATCACCCATTTTTTATGAGATAAGTGGATTTTCGTAATCATTAAAACAAAACTAGTGTTAAATCACTACTCTTTAGATATTAATATACCACGTGAAGTGTTTAAATATAGAACAGACACAAAAACGTTTAAATTACAAATCAAATAAAGTCAAAATTGATCAATCTCACCTCATTTCACGGTACCTGGAAAATGGCAAAACGATCCCAACGCTCTACTGTGCTGTCCCAACTATGTTGAATTATTGGACCAATTTAACGCCGAATTGCGGAAACAACGTTTCCATTTACGTTCACCTTAGCGAAATTGGTCGAATTGGGCTACTAACTGTTAGCATATCCACCATATTCTATAGATTTGGCACCGTGTGACTTCTTTTTGTTTCCAAACTTAAAAAAGGCACTCGCTGGGCAGAAATTTAAGTCGAAATATGAGATATTTTGCAGATCTCAAGAAAACGTATTTTTTAGATGGGTTAAAGAAGTTAAAGCATCGATGAGAAATGTATCCAGTTTTCCAAAATTTTCTTTTTTCTTTTGTTGGCTTAGTACTTATCGAATCGCCCTATTATTATATAGATTTCCTTTTAATTTCAATAAATGTAAACCGGAAACATTTTTATAGAACATAACGTATAAAACAAGATATATTTGTTAACCTTGAGAAAACTATTACCAATTAAAAATGTCAGTTAATTATGCAAATTGTAACGATAAAGAGACAACATAATTACAAATAAAACTTAAAATGCATTATTGTATACACTATTTAATGTCATTAGAAGTGACTTGAAAATAGTAAGTCAGCATCGTATTAAACATTAACTATATTCAAGTAAGTTTTCTTATAGATCAGAATATCTTTAAAATGATTATCTAGTGTTACATAATGAGTCAAAAACAAATTAAATTAGTTACTGCTTCTAAACAATTTCGGAAAATACGAATAAAAATGGAAAGGAAAGACAACCAATAGATTTCAGAATCTTATCCAATACCATAACTGATTTCAATTAAATCAAGAGACTAAAAAATCTTGAACTCTTCCATATGAGTTATTCATGGCAAGAATGAAATGCCAAAGGTGTTCTGTAACATCAACCAAGCAGCCCTTGATATTAATTATACTCTTGTTATGTTAGTAATTATGTTCCCATTTTAATATATTGCTGAAGAGTGAAAGATTTTAAAGCATTGAAAAATGGTCACTTGAAATGTGTACAAAAATGTGTTTAAAACTTGAAACTGATGATGATCTGAAGTAATTTTTTTTTTATTATTGAGTTAATGCCTCGACAACTAAGATCATTGGCATGGTACAGTCAGGTACCTAGTGTAGTGTGTGTGTGTGTGTGTGTGTGTGTGTGTGTGTGTGTGTGTGTGTGTGTGTAGAGTAATTGTCTTGATACTTAGCAAAGTCGACGTCATTGTTTTTGCTAAGAGACGCTAATTGTATACGAACGTCTGCGGTCCCTCCGGTGAGTACCGATCGCACAAGGATAGAAATTATTTTCATTCATTAATTTTTAATAAACGAAAATTTCTCCACCCAGATGAGATTCGAACTCACGACCTTTAGGTTTAAAGGTAGGCGCTCTTACCACTGAGCCACAGAGGGGGTAGCTGAAGTAATTTAAAATTGTCTCCTATAAACATGGTCTCCACGTGGTTGTTTGACTTTCGTTACTTCAACAGGATTTCCATTTCTTTTCTTTCTTAAAGTACCTGATATATGAGTGTATCATATAAAGATAATAACCTTTGTTTAAATATAGTTCCATGAGTCTTAAAATAACCTTGGTTTTAGAGATTTTTACTTCAACTATTGTCTCTCTCTGTCCTTTATATATTTCTATGTTTAAGACATAACCTTCTTGATTACAAAGTTCGTAAAATTTAATACCATATTTGGTTATTTTATTACCATTATTTTGTTACCAAACTTTCTTAGACCTGAAAAACTAGAGACTCCTTTTGACAAATAAATTAGTTGTCAACCCCCTTGTCGTATCATACCCAGTTTATTCGAAATTTACTAACATTTCCAAATCAAGGGAAAGATCTAATACGTCTTTCAATATTTGGCAGATGCTTAATAGCGAAAAATGCTTTTACTTGCTTCATCTAAAAGCCAGTTATACAATTTCGTTCTTCTTGAGTTTTCCTTTCGCATTTTACCAAGCGAAAGAACAACATTAAAGCCTAGATTTTTCTGGAATTATAATTTGACTTTATATAAGTGGAAAAACTTTTAAAAAATCGTAAACATCTCAGAGGAGCCTTGTTTTTAAGCAATATTAACATAAAAAATCTCATCAGGTGCGATGAGATGACAAAAGTACACGTTCCTACAAAATATAATGCAAGGAAAAATCCAAGAACGCAGAAATCCAGGCCGTAGAAGAATGTCCTATATGAGAAATTTAAGAGAGTGGTTTGGCTGTAACACTAACGAATTATTCAAAACAGCAGTCAATAAAATTAGAATCGCCATAATGAAATCTCCAATAAGAGAGGTACTCAAAGAAGAAGAAGAACATAAAAATTAAAAAGACTATATAGCCATACAAAGGTTCGAGTAAAAATATGACATATACTCTTAGAAAACATCAGGATAACCAAAGGCCTAAAACAGGGTTGATACATCTGTTCCGTGGTTGTGTGAATGCGTGTGTGATATACTTCCACGAAAACAATATAAAAATAATTAAGTCGAATATAACGTAGAAAAAACAATAATATTTAAAGTGTCTTAAAGATTACTGAAAACGAAAACTCGACACATAACACGCGTTCTTTTGTTTTTAAAAGCCAGACGATAAACTTTTTTATCGGACTGGTCGTTATATTATATTTCGTGTAGTTAAGATCCGCAGAAAAGTCCAGTAGAAAATGGATAACAAATGCCTGTATCAGAGAAATAATGAAAGTAGACCATATAATTGTGGACGATAGAACATAACAATTTATATGATACGGTCATATACAGGGAATAACAGAAGATTTACTGCCAAAGCAACTATTTAATGTGATTACTCACTCTTTATTTATTTTTTATTATTATTAAAGTTTTAAACCTTTTTCTCTAACAGTGTATTTACGCTGTTTTAGCATTTGCTCTTAATATCTTTTAGTACTTCCTATTAATACTACATCATCATTACACATGAATCACCAAGAAATATCTGCCTGTATTTCCATGTTACTTGATCCACGCAACATTGCAATGATAATAAATAAGGACGAAATAAGGCCCTGATGTAATTCTACTTTAACATAAAATTTATGTCTCCCCCATTCATGTCCTCTCGCTAGTAATTAATTAATCGATCACAACTCACTTTCTTATTAGACGTTCACCACAGAAACTTCCGAGGAACTATATCAAACAACATACAGTTGATCAAGATCAAAAAATATTATAATTACCGTTTCTTTTTTTACTCCTATATTTCTTCATCAACGGCCTTATAATTATTATAACAACATATTGTGGATCTACCTTGACTATACTTTATAATGACTTTAATTATTTACTTAATTATTTAACTATTAGCACTAGAAAAGATACCCTTTGATGATAAGACGTTAAGTAAGTTGCGCAGAATACGGCAAACAAAATTAAACGCTAAAGAAGTGGAAGAAGTCCCTGTATAACATCAGGAGAATGAAGTAGAGTTGAAAATGAACGAATCAAAGAAATGATCGGGGCAAAAAGATCAATATAGAGAAAAACAACAGCTGAAATGGTACGGACAGGTATTCCGAAAGCAGGAAAGTGACTAATAGAGCAAACGAAAAGCGTTTTTAAAAGCTTTATTACTTTGATCGTATTATTAGAAACAAGGAAAACTATGGACGACTAACGCTAGAGAAATGTACTAGAAAAGAAGTAAAGGAATTTTTCTGTATATTTCCGAGTGACTGTCCGTTAAGAAATTTCTTTCCTGTTAGCAGCAAAGTACCGTAAACCTTTTGACGAAATATCATTCGACATTTCGAACGTGTTTATTAAATTTTTAATTTATAAGTAATATATAACTAGTGACCTGTAGATGAATGATGTCGGTAAAATATTGTTTGATTTTAGCATCTAATGAGTGGCTGGTTTTGGGACTACAGTTTTCGATGTCAGCCAATAGACTACTCAACTAACTCTAAAGCATTAAGGGTAAGTTAATATTTAAAATTAATTTATTTAAAAAAAAATAAAAATTATTAACCTATAAATGTTATGTTTTTCAGTAGATTTAAAGTAAAACGTAACACTTTCCAAAAATATACTTTTTGAAACAAGACAAAGAAGAAATAGCTGTTTTTACTCTGAAATTTGGTGCACTATACCTACTATGTGAGTTAAAAAGATGAATCCATTGATGAAATCGACTTCATCATAAACAACATAAATTGTATATTCACATATGTCGCCTAGGTAATACTAAAACTAAACCCACGTTACAGTCAAAATGAGAAATATCAGTCAATGGGTCTGTTCTTATTTTTGAAAGGAAAGTCACGTAGATAAATCAAAGATCACTTAAGAAGAAGAGTGTTTGCGTCGTTTCGTGACCATCGACGCAACGTGGATCCATTGGTATCCAAAGATCAAAGGATAGCCGAAACAGTGGACTTGTACGTGTACCGAAAAAGCAAAGACTATCCTTTTAGCCAGAAAGGTTATGGCTACCTTTTCTTGTCACCTCGGGGTAAATGGAAAGGGTCTACATTACCTTATGTACCACCGTGTGCTCTGTGGAGGGGTTCGGAAACATCGTGAGCTCCTCTACTTTTGTCCATTTTCAGGGTATGGACTTCAAAATGTTTTGTCTCCTGATGGCTCGTCTTAATAAAGACGAGAGATTCTTACATGACAAATATCTTACATGATAGTTGTCGAAATAAACATCAGGTTTGTTGTCTTCGATGTCTTACCTTGAAAAAGGCAAGTTATTTCTTACATGACCAAATATATATAGGTCGAAATAAAACACCAAAAATACAGTAGAAATAATACTCAGCCACAGAGTATAGGGTAGGCTAAAAGAAAAAGCAGAGCCCCGAGAGCACTAAGCTCTCGGAGAGCCCGTGAAGGACTGACTTATTTGACCTGAAAATCGCCTATTTTTATACTTTCTGAAGTAGCGATTAGGGATTTCCAGGTCAGGGAGGGGCCAACGGGGAAAATAAGGGGCGGGGCGATGCGTCTCGAACGTGAACTAGTCGCGTCCGAGAACATTCTGGGATTCACAAAGTGAGATCAATTTTGACTACCTAGAGGACCCTAAAATGGCCAGAGAGCTATAATATTACGAATCACGTTAAATTCTATCTTATCTACTGTATTCTCCAGGTTTGGTCCCTTGCGACTTCTTTGTCGCACGGAGAAGTTGAATAATAGGAGGTCACCGCCGCTCAGGAGTCCTATTCTGCAAGCTTCGAGAGAACGCATTTTTCAGACGGTTTATAGAAGTTTGAGCATCGCTGGGTTAAGTGTATTAAGTTTCTTTAAGTGCCGTCTCCCAATCGGAGGTTGGATATCATCATCAATATCGAGCTAAAAGGACAAATAAATCGACCCGTTTGAAAATGTTCGTTTTATTTTTATACGTACTTATCGGACCGCTGCCGCTGAGGAGACAACTTAGGGTGCGTTCATTGCGGAGACCATCGCATCGTATCCTCGCCTAGAGCATAGCACTGACAGTGAATGCTCGTGGATCGGCACCTCGTTATGAACGCACACTTAGACGAAAGAGAAATATCTCTGAAAAACTTACACAATAATTATTTATGTTATAATTTTTCTTAAATTTTGTAGATGGCCAATTTGTGTTGGTGGTACTACATTTCCAAACTTACAGAATTTGCAGACACGGTATTTTTTATCTTGAGGAAGAAAAATAACCAAGTGACGTTCTTGCATGTTTACCATCACAGTTTAACGCCAATAGAGACTTGGGTGCTTGTCAGATTTTTAGCAGGTATGTACATATTACAGATAGAAATAAAACAATATTCTGTTTTCAACTTTTAAGTATAGTCCTGTGTGTAAGGGTTTTTCTGCTGAGAATTCTTTTTATATACATGAAATGTTGGCAGGATGTAGAAAACACCTCAAAAATAAAATTCTACCCTATGCGATTATGGGCTTTTCCTCTTGGATAGTTATCAGTTTATTGTGGTTTATTTTAAAAGCAAAAAAGTAGTGTATATTAAATTTTTTTCAACTCCTTTGTTTTAAAAAAGATTGCTCTGAAAGGGCTTGAAGATGGTACTAAACGCATGCGAATACAACCTATAAGTAATTATTCTCATTTAATTTTTAGTTTAAAGCAATAAAAAAGTAAGAGTCTTTAGTAATAAAAGCTGTTTTTATAGTATTCAAAAATTTCTTTATAATATCTTGTTTAGTTGTTGAGTTATTTTGAAAAAAAAAAGCGATTTTCTAAGAAATTCCGAAAATAGTGTCCTTATTTTAAACTCGAATTTTTTTAAAACTAAACCTTCTAAACCAGTTAACCTTTTAGATTGTAATGTTTGTATATAAATGAAGTAAATTTTAAATGAACAACGAATAGTTGCAACCAGGTGGTTTTGGCGGGGGTGAGTTTGTTACATTTTTCCTCACAAAAATATAAGCGGACTTTAATTATTTAGTTATAACTTACCTCAAGTTTAATTCATATCACTTTACCAGTGATCAATAATAGTTTATTTAAAGTTTTTAAAAGGTTTTACTATTTTGGCAGTGATATCAAATAAACTGAATAAAATTTTACCACTAGCAGAAGAACAACAAGGTTTCAGGCCGGGAAGATCATGCATCGACGCTATATTTATAATGACCCGATTGTAAGAGAAATTATTAGAATACAACAAACTGGCATATGTATGTTTCGTAGACCTTAAGAAGGCATTTGACCGTGTCAAATTAAAGGACTTTATCCACTTATTCTGCGCAAGAGAGATACCTCTAGGAATAATCAAAACGATCGAAAATATTTACCAAAACAACACAATAAAAGTAAAAGTGGAAGAAGATCTAACTGACCCTATTGAAGCTGACAATGGGATAAGACAGGTAGATTCCCGCAGTTCTTTATTGTTCAACCTGATTATGGATAAAATATAAAAAAAGTAAGATACCAAATGGGAGAAAGATAACAAAATAATCTGCTATAGGTAGACGATTTACAGCGTATGCTGCACCAATTTAATAAAACCGCCAGAAAATTTAACATGTTAATTTCCAAAAAAGACAAAATGCATGGTTACAATAGCAAATTTACTAAGATGTAAATTGGAGTTGAAAGGTCAGATAATTGAACAAGTTATGGAGTTTAAATACTTAGTTATTACCTTCTCTAGCTATGGAAAGCTCTAAAATAAAGTGGAAGATCAAGTAAATGTAGAAGATGGAGCTGCGCACTGCCTGAATGAAAAAATATGGAGAAATAAAAATATCAGACCAATAATGACAAAAACCAATTACCATCAAACAGTCATCAGACCAATAATGACATACGCGGCAGAAACACGACTTGACACAGAGAGGACAAAAAGGATGTTCTTCTTCTTCTTAACGTGCCCGATCAAGTCCCCTTGACGTTGACGATTAACATGACGAAACTGTCTCTGTCTCGAGCTATTCAAAAGATTTGCTCAGCTTTCTTTATTTCTGTCCACTCCCTAAGATTCTTCAACCAAGAGGCCTGCTTTCTACCAATTCCTCTGCGTCCTTCGATTTTACCCATCATAATTTGAAGAATATTATATCGGTCTCCCCTTACTACATGTCCAAAATAGGCCATCTTTCTACATTTTGATGTTATCAAGCAGTTCGCGAGCAGCATTTGTTCTCTCAAGGACTGCCACATTTGTCAGCATAGCCGTCCATAGAATTTTTAGTATACGTCTGAGCAGCTACATTTCGAAGGCCTCCAGACGATTAATGGTGGATATTTTTAATGTCCATGCTTCGACACCGTATAAGAGGACTGACCAAATGTAGCATTTAAACATGCGCTTTCGAAGTTGAAGTTGCCAGTTAGCCCAGTCTGGTTAAAAAAAAAGGTGGCAAAATGTTTCGCAGATATTTGAAGCTTTTAAGACATAGGTGGGGGTTACTAGATGACGAATAGATAAAAAGATACTCCTAGTTTTACGTTGCGTTTTTTTTAAACAACAATTTATGGTCAAAATTTGATTTTTTATCTATAAGTTTTTTCCCTTACAATTTAAATAAACAATATTTATACCATTTTTTTATGTCAAGAATATCTTTATTTTTCCGTTTTTTCAATTAAAATTGATTTATAATTTGCGGAGATATTTGCAAAAAAGCAGTTTTTTTGCACTAATTTATAAATTTAATTAATTTTTTTATTAACAAAATAAAATGTTATTAATACATTTTAACATGGAGGAATTACCGTCCTTTAAATTTGTGCGAAATTTCACCCCGATCGGTCAAATAGTTTAAAAGTTATTCAATTTGTTTATCCCTGGGACTAATTATTTAAACCATTGAGCTTGCCCTATGCATGATGCTAGACACATTTAGCAAATTTCATAAGATTGTTTAAGACTTAGACTATCTCAGAAGTTAAAGGCATATTGAGTTTTCATCGAAATTATTTACAAAATAAACGTTTGAAAAAGGGGTATGTTTTTTACTTATAAACAATTGTAATAACTTCTATATTTTTTAAGCTACAGACTTGTACGTACAACCATTGGATAGCTGGTAATAAAGCTCACATTAAAAAATAAAAAACCTTCTATGACCAATAGGAACGAAGTTAGCGACTATTTTTAAAAAAATCATATCTCCATTGTTTATAAACATTAAGAAGTAAAATTTGCACAAATTTTGAATGAAAATCTAAACTTTATATTGAAAGTTATAGCTATAAAATGTATCTCTTTTTTTATAAATATTAATAACTACATAGTTTTCACTGACCGGAAAATATGGGAAAACTCGGAAAAATTGAGTCTATTTGAAATTCACGCTAAATACTTACTTTTTTTAATTTGCTCGAATAGTCTGTCGCAGTATTAATAATGATGACATAATTTTCACCCCCATAAATCTCGGAAAATCCCGGAAAATCAACATATGTTTTTTCATTTTATATCAATGATGCTTACTGCTTTGATAAAATAAGTCGATTTTTTCATCACTTGCCTTATTACATTTTGCAATGTTTATTGAACTTTACTTTTTTTTTATTTTCTTTACATACATTGGTTTAAAAGTTAAAATTTGGTTCATTTATTCGACTTCACTGTCAGCTCTGAACCTTTTTGTTGCACGTTGTTTGTCTTCACTTATTAAGCAAGTCTATACATATACTTCTTCAGAATCACTGTCGTCATCAAACGTAACTGTACCGAGGTTGCAGCATATTTTCTCCTCTTCTTCTTCCTCAGTACAATTTATACACAAGTTCGTACAATTTAAACCACGTTTTCTGCACCCACATCTAGTAGTTTTGCAACCTGTGGTGCATTTGCATGTAATGTGCTTTAATGTCTCTTCGGGAATTAAATTATCCAAAGTATAAATTGGTTCAAAACCAGTGGCAGTTTGTCTCCAACCATAGGCACAAGCATCTAACTTATTACCTAACCACATTTGTAATTGATAGTAAACCCGAAGAACATGCTGTTTGGCTGCACCTTCAGTTGGTGGCAGAGTTTCTAGTTTAAAAGATGATTTACTGATATTTCTGTTAAATTGTAAGTATCTTAAATTATTTAAAGAAAGTGTATTGTTGTGTTTTTTTTATAATTTATATCAACTGCAGTAGAGTATAGAACCACAATCACCTCACAACCAATTTTCATTATATTTTCTTTACTTGCTCTGGAATCGTAGAAATCGTACAATAAAGTAAAAGCAATAAAAATAGTTCAAAACAAACGTTTAACTTGCATAACAATAATTTAGCCATTTATAAAACAAAACTTACAAAGGAAAATACTTACTATGATACTACTACTGCTGGAATAAGTTATTGCCACAGTCTGCTGTTTATTTTAAACTAATCTATAATAAATAATATTTTTCACTAATTATACAAGTTGAAAATAATTAATTATTTATTCAATAGTTTTAAATATTACTTACAATTTTCAATCAAAAAGTAATTAAATACGTTTAGTTAAAACTTTTTTGTTAAGCAAAAACACACACAAAATAATTTACTCAAAAATTATTGCTAAATAAGTATATTGCTTTCTAAAGCCACCACACTGAGACTGACGAAATTTTGCAGCGATGTGCTAAGACAGTTTCCCCTCCACTTTCCTATGTAGATCTTTCGAAAGTAACTTTATTTCAAAAGGCTTTAAATTTCGAAAAATTGAATGAATTTTATAGCTATAAAATTCAATATTAAGTTTAGATTTTCATTCAATATTTGTGCAAATTTTACTTCTTAATGTTTATAAACAACGGAGATATAATTAACAAAAAAATTGTCGCTAACTTCGTTCCTATTGTTCATAGAAGGTTAATTTTTTTTGTTAAATGTGAGTTTTTTTACCAGCTACACAATGGTTGTACGTACAAGTATGTAGCTTGAAAAATAAAGAAGTTATTACAATTGTTTATAAGTAAAAAACATACCCCTTTTTCAAACGTTTATTTTGTAAATAATTTCGATGAAAACTCAATATGCATTTAACTTCTGAAATAGTATAAGTCTTAAAGAATCCTATGAAATTTGTTAAATGTGTCTAATGTCATTCATAGGGCAAGCTCAATGGTTTAAATAATTAGTCCCAGGGATAAACAAATTGAATAACTTTTAAACTATTTGACCGATCGGGGTGAAATTTCGCACAAATTTAAAGGACGGTAATTCCTCCATGTTAAAATGTATTAATAACATTTTATTTTGTTAATAAAAAAATTAATTAAATTTATAAATTAGTGCAAAAAAACTGCTTTCTGACAAATATCTCCGCAAAT